AGAGAGAGAGAGAGAGAGAGAGAGAGAGAGAGAGAGAGAGAGAGAGAACAGGTGTCAATTTTCAAATGCTTTCCTATGAATATCCAAACTGCTAAATCAAGGAAATCACCAGCAATGCCTTCAGACAAGTACTGACTTTTTGAAGCTGCAAACCAATGGCTGCTAATTGAAAATCTCTGGGCAATACCACAAAGAATGAAATTGGTGTATTAGCTAAAAATACAATGTTGTTGCTCCATAAGGAACTAAGTACTTGCTCTGCATCATGATTAAATTAAATGCAAAGTAGTTCTGAGGTTATTCGTTACCATTGGATAAGACAAATGTTGAGTCCTTCAAAATTATTTTGCTCAATAATTGCTGTTCTCTTTCCCCTCCTAGGAAATCTTCTAAGCCATTCTTTTTCTTTTAAGTTTGCTCAGGCAACCAAGAACATAAGAGAGTTGATGCGCTTGTAATGGTCATTTGTACATAAAGGTGTAATTATTTATTTTCTCATTTGTACCATATCAAGGCTTTGTACAATGTTTTAAGTTTTGTTTTCAAATTATTTTGTATTTTATTTTTATAAACTGGTTATAAATAAAATACTCATTCAGCATGCAAAACTTCAATCCTTGATTGTGTTTGTATGGTGATTTTACTGCTTAAAATATACTGTATAAGGTTGATTTTTTTTTTTTCCAATTTTTTTGTTGTTGTACGTTAGATGGAGAAAAACTTTGTTTTCTCTTATGAGAAAGCAAAAAGCAAGTGTCAGTTGGTACTACTGCAAAAGAAGTTGATGCTCATACTGCAAGAGTGAGTCAATGAGAGTTCTACTGTTTAGTATATTGATGTATTGTGTAATAAGTAACAATAGGAACAACTCAACCCTCCTCCTTAAAGGCCTCCTTCTCTATTTGCTCATGTTCTTTATCCATTCTCTCTGCATTCACCCAAACGACAAATGACTGCCATGGCAAATCAGAACAATTTAGTGATGATATGGTGGATCCCAGCCTTGTTTGTGTAGCAAGCCAGCTACACTTACTAATTTGTAAATGGGCTAAATTATAATTTCTTATTTAGCCACAGGCCACTGTCATAAATTTATTTTGTCCAGCTGTCTGGACATTCATGCCAAGCTTTTACAGCCTCTTGTAAAGTCTCATTCTCTGTGCAATACAATTTAGCTGCAGATAGCAAAAACATTACTGAAGTTGTTATTGAATCTGGGTATTTTGATGCAGTGTTAACCAGTTGTTCTAGTTCCATCCAAGATCCTTTCATTTCTCTTTCTAGAAAAACTAGATAAAAGTACAATGTCATCACAATATTTGTGGTCTATGTGCACACTTACCTTAGTCCTTGTGTGCTGTGGAAAATACTGCTTGCTCTTTGCACAGCAGAATAAGGTTGCTAGGGAAGTCTAGAAGAATTGGAGAAAACTTCCGGATCTCTTTCTTGACTTTGCCACTGTTATGCAGTGTATGTGAAGCAAATTAAAGGCCAGCTCTGCCCTTAAGAGCAGCTAGAAATGTACTGTTGTGCTTCTGGAGGGTGTTTGTTCTTAGTGTTCCCAATAAAGCCACTATTTGATTACAGAAAAGACACAGAAAGAAACAGAAAGTCAGCTTTATTAATTGGAATTTGAAAATAAAAGTGTACATGCTCTGTACTAGAGGTGAGATATCTCAGTATCTTAAGTTACTTAGAATATTACATAAATAGTGATCATAACCAAAATGAGAGAGTGGTCTCAACTCAGCTCCGACATACCTAGGCTGTACAATTGAGAGACTGAGGAAGATCCAAGGCTGGAACAGGAACACCACTGGAAATCAGTGCTGAGATCTGCTCATCTGATTTCTGAAGCACTTTTTTCTTTTTTTAACCATCTTCACAACCACAGCAGACACAGTCCACTAGCTCTTGAAATCTTGCTGCACTTCTTTGCACCTGGACCGTAGCTTTCTCTCTTGGAAACATAAACGTGAGACAGCTGTGTAGCACACACAAGCTAGCTTTCCCTAAGAAGGCTGGAGTAAATGAAATTAAAGAATCAATAATTGAAGAAAGAATTGAAATACAGAAAAAACTGGCTACTGCACTCTGGACAAGCTCAAATAGCTGCCCAAAAAGACCAGGTAAACTTCTGATTCACTAACATTTTTCTAACCCAGCCTGGGATATCACAGATTGAGAGGCTGCTTTTTGTATGCGAACAAAACACAAATGAAGGCTTGGCAGATCCCATCTGTACTGAGGAGGAGAAATATAAATGCTTCTAAGAGGTTAACTCTATCCTGCTTTTGGTATCAGCATTTTATGAGTAAGGTAGTGGCAGTTGTCACCCACACCATCTCCTTTTATAAGGGAATCCAGGAGCCAAAAACCTCCTCCAGGGCATAGACCTTGTGTTAATTCCCTGTGGTGGCTGCAATTGAACTGCACCTGGCTGAGCTTCAGGATTTGTCATCCTCTTCTACCGTTTCCTTCTTAAATAGTTCTTTTGGGCTTCTTAAATAATTTTGTTTCCATTCTTTGCTCAGCAATGCCTCAGAAGAAACCTGTTAAAATCCAGCTGTCCTGAGCTTCATCAGACTCCTGCACAGGCCTAAGATGAAATCCCTTGCTTTGAGGTAATTATTCTAATAGTGTGTAACTGGTGATGCACTCCTTGCATTATTTGCAGCTACTGTTAGCTCCCATATTTATCACTTTTCAATGAAAATGGCCTACTTCTCCCCCCTAAAGATGGAAGAAATTAGTCCTGTATTTTTGTGTAGTATAGTGCACTGTCCAAGTTGACATAAAAATATATACATACCTTGCCTGATGTTTACTTGTTCTTATGCTGCTAAAAGGGGTAGTTGGGCTGCCACTTTGTGTGCAACAAAAACATATGTGCAGAATCACTGGAAAACCAGTGACCATTACCATAGGCCAATTTATCTTTAGAATTTTATACTAGTGATAAATGCTTATGAGGAGGACTTGAATGATTTTTTAGGTGATAGGATAACAGTGCAGGTGAGAGGGTTGCTGTATTTCCTTCAGTGAGTACGCTGAAAACATAAATGGAGTGCTTTTTACAAGGCAGTAATATACAAGCTCTAAACACCAGTTTTCCACATATCTTAACGATAGCATCAATAGTAATATTTTCCTCCTGTTCAGAGTTCTTCTTCCTCGGATGTACAAGCATGGCAGATTTTACTAATCTCTCTGATAGGTAAAGATAAAAGCTTCTTTTCATGAGCTATGCATTTTTCTATCCAGAATCAGACTCTGCCTCCTGTAATTTATTTAACAGCAAGTCTAAATGTAAAACAATGCAGAAAGGTTTTTTTGTTCTTTGTATTTCAAGTGATACCAATTCCAGAAAGCTTGCAAAATCTGCTTACAAGCCATAATAAGAAATGTCATTCCATGTCAAAGCCAAGCATCACTCATCAGTTACTGTTTTTGTTTTATGTCTCTATCTTAATAATATCACAAGAAATAGCCTGCTCTGCTAGTGAAATAAAACACAATGCCTCTGAGAAGATGCATTTGGCAAGCTGGGAATGAGCAGCAGCCAAATGGAGCAATGCTGTACAAATTTGGAGAAGCACATTCATCATCAACAGCTCAATCCTAAAACCATTCCTCAGGGAAGCAGGTGTATCCGACCCTTCCTGCCATATCTTCCTTGCACAGCTGAGACTTAGAAAAACAAAACCTCAAACCAACAGCAAACAAGCGAACAGTTATAAGTATTACAAAAAGCAACTACTTAAAAACACCAGCTCATTTTGCCATTTGTTTAATAAAAAAAAAAAAAACAAAAACAACTAAGCAACTCATGTAAGACAGCTCCTGGTAGTCAGTAACCATAACGTTACTTTTTCACCCAAATCTCATGCCTTTTATTTTCCAAAAGGTCACATTAAACAAAGGGTAATACAGACAAGAGTTATAGCCAAAATAAATCTGTTTGTTTTTGAGAGAGTAAGAGGATAAAGAGAACAGCAGAAAAACATTAGCCAACTGAAACTGAGTTAACAAACAGAACTGGTATTTAGTGTTTAATGCCACCTCCTATAGAGAAACATTTCCCACTGGGAAAAAATGCGGGGGGCAAGTCCACTTTGCTCCTTCAAGTCACAGGCTGGAGCAGAACAAACAACAGCACCTAACACCACAGTCACTGTACATATATTCAAGTTTTACATGTCTGCAAAGCAGAAGTAGTAGCAGCCGTTTGGATGTTCTTTCTTAATGGTTCTCAGGGGGGGCCTGGGAAACTCTGAAGGACCTGGTTCCTGGGATGTAGAGCTGGAACTGCAGCTGCTGCTCCTGCTGCTGCTTCCAGCCATCTGCACCCGGCCTCTGTCCTCAGCAGGGGAAACCTGGGGAGAACCCGGGCTCAGGTACCCGGCTGTGGTCTGAGTAGAGGTGGTGGTGTATGTAGTTGGGCCGGTGTTGTTTTTCACGTAGACGTTTTTGATAGCAACAAGCGTATGCGCCATGATGCTGAGGCTGTTACTCAGATCCTGCATGCCTTGCTGCAGCAGCTGAAGATTGTGGTTGACACTGTCAAAGCCAGACTGAATCACCTGCATCTGGGTCTGCTGAATCTGCACTAGGTCCGCTTCAGTTATTCCGATTTGGTCTGCCTGGGATCTGCCTTTTGATTTGGCTTTTACCTTCCCTGAGGAAGCACCACCAGATGTCCCCAGATAAGGCAGCTGCTCCTGGCTAGGTGGGACTACTGCCATGTCCTCAGAGCTTTCCTCCGGCTCTACCACTTTCACCACTATCTCTTCTTTTAGGTTTATCTTCTCAAGACCGGGTTGATGAGATGGGCCAGGATCATCGTTAAATCCTAGAGATGAGGGGAGAGGAAAAGCAGAGCAAAGTCAGTGAGGAACTTCACAGTCAAGTCAGGTGCGCTTTTACCCTTCAGCACACCCACCACCCTTGAACCAAGACCCTACCACAGCAACTTGCACTGTGCTGACGCTTTTAGAACACACATCACCTCTATACGAGGGGAAAAAAACCCTAAAGATCCATTTACTCAATAGCCGTGAATTGTAATTCCCTTACTGTCCCCACCGCGGGGGCTAAGATGCAGGTTCCAAAAGACAAATCTTGTTCTGCGCTGTGTGTGTGCACGGTGACGCCGATCGCGGGGAATCCCTGCGTACCGCAGCTGCTGTTTCAGCGCGTTAACGCCCCCTCTCTCTGGGACACAAAACCATACGTAGTCACAGCACTTCGGGCAGCCTAGGATTGCACGCTGGCATTCTATTTCTGCAATTTCAAGAACGGGATCTACAAACGTGGACAGAAGGGGCTTAGCGCCGCCGGGACGGGAGGTCCGCTCCCACGTGCCGTTGCGCTGTAGTGTCACGGGCCGCCGGCTACACGCAGCACTGCGCGTCAAGGCGCGAAGGCGGCGCCCCGCACTCACCCATCTCCCCCACGGCAGCGCCGGGCAGCTCCAACGTGTCGATGCCGCCCACGATGGGCACGGCCTCGGCGTGCAGCAGGGAGCCGTAGGCGCGGGGGTGCAGGTGGTGGTGGTGGTGGTGGTGGTGGTGGTGGGGGCGGGGGGCGGGCGCGGCGCCGGGCGGCAGCTCCTCGGGGGCCAGCAAGAGGCCGAGGGCTGCAGCGGGGCCCGGCGGCCCGCCGCCCTGAGACAGGCGGCACAGCTTGCTGCGGTCGCGGCGTTTCAGGTCCCGCCAGCGCTTCTTCAGGTCCTCCACGTCGCGCGGACAGGCGGCCACCGGGTTCACCTTGTGCCGGATCAGCTCCCACACCTTTCGCTTCTGGCCCGGGGAGGCGCGGCCCGGCCCCGCCGCGAACAGCAGCCGCTCGTGCTTCAGCACCTGCTCGATCAGCACCTCCGTCTCCGCCTCGTTGAAATTGGCCTTGCGCCGCTTGGGCGAGTCCTCGGCCATTCTCCGCCGCCGGGGGCCGGGGGGGCCCGCGGGGGCGCCGCTGCCCCTTCCCCCGGCCCGGCCCGCGGGCGCCGCCGCCGCTAGGCCGGGCCCCGCGCCCCGTCGGGGAAGGGAACACCGCGCATGAGAGGAAAGGACGCGCGCGGCCGGCGCAGGCGCCCCATGCCCCGCGTGTTGACATGGGGAGGGGGCCCGGCCCCGGGCCCGGCCCGCGCCCGCTCCGCCCCCGCCCGCCTCCCCCCCGCCGGGATTCCCCGCCGCCAGCCCGCCCCGCCCGGCCCCGCCGCGGGTTGTGCGCCTGCTCGGCGGCGGCTGCTGCGGCGCCCGGGAATGGCGGCGGTTTTGGAGCTGCTGCTGAGCGAGGAGGTGGCGGTCGGCGCCGTGGTGCGGTGGCTGCGGCGCGCGCCGGGACAGCGCCCGGCTGAGGTAACGCGCGGCGGCACCGCCCCGCACTTTGCGGCCCGGGGGGTATCGCGTCCCGCCGCGGGCCGAGCGGGAAACTTTGCGCACGGGGGAGGCCCGCTTGAGGCCCGGGGGCGGCCGCCGGGGGGCCGAGCTCCGCCGAGCGCGCGGCGGGAAGGCGGGACGGGGGCCGCGGGACCGCTACCGCTCGCCGGGCCCCGGGGCGAGGCGGAGGTGGAATGGCGGCGAACGTGGCCCGGAGCGCGGTGCCCCGTCGCCGCGTGCCGGCTGGGGAGGCGCGGTGACGCGGGGGGCTGCGCTTCCCGCCGCTTCGCCGGTGGGAGCGGCGCTGGTGCCGCGACCCGCTACGCGTCGGGAGCTGCTCGTGGCCCCGTGCGCACGCTGTGGTGTCTCGCGACCTGTTGCTGGTCTGAGCGTGGGGATCCGCTGCATCCGAGCACGCGGAGCTTTGTAACGCGCTGTGGGCCGAGCGTTGGTGTTGCCGTGGTTGTAGAAGCCTTTGTAACCACACGTTGACCAGGAGCGCTTACACTGAAGTTACATCGTGAAGAACAAGGTCTGTACGTGAAGCATTTTCAGCCGGAGCTCCCTAGAATGCCTTTAATTAAGATCAGAGCTTACTGCTGTCACCCTAAACTTCTGTGGGAAGGAGGGAGCAGCGTTCTAGGTGTCCAGCCCTCCTTAACCTGTGGGCTGCAGATGTGGGCCTGCGGGTGCTGTGCAATTCGAGGTGCTGACTGCTCAGAACTGGAGGCTGTGGGCTGGTTAGCGGGGGGTTCGCCTTGCCAGGGGCTGTGGGTGGTGTGTGGGGTGAGAAGGCCAGTGGGAGGCTGGGAGCTGGCGGCATGCCCTCATCCTACAGCAGAGCTATGATCCTCTGTTAACTCACACAGTGAGAGAGGAATAAAGGCATGCTGTGCTCAGAAAGGTTTGAGGAGCTGACTGGCCATGTGTGCAGACCACAAGCTGTCTCAACTCTAAACATAGATGGGCAACCGAGGAATGGTAGAATACATCTTGCCCTGGCTTTCGTGGGGCAATTCTGCGCTGCTGGCACCTGGTGGGTTTTGTGTGCTGGCCTTGGTCTGCCCAGGGCATCAGCATGCTGAGTCCGCCCTGTACCAAGGCTGTGCCAGCCTCAGGCTTCATCAGCTGCTGTGCTGTCATGCTTTCGAGGCAGAGTTTCAGCACCGATGTCAAGGATGGCAGGAGTGAGATCATGGCCCTGCTCTCACTGCCTTCTTTTGTAAAAAGTACTTCCAGAACAGTGCTTGCTCTTCTTTCTTAAAGTGGAGATGGGAATCGAAATGAAACAAAACGTGCATGCAATTATTTTCATGTTACTAAGGAGGAAGTTGCTGCCTGTGAGCTTCTACTGTTGTTGAGATGGCACAGAGTACCATAGAGAGGAAACAGGAATGTGCGTGTTGTTAGAAACAAAAGGCACTTTTCCTAGCGTACCAGGCTTTGAGCCATGCATGGGATATGAAGTCTTTTTGTCTAGTGTTACCATGGGAAGATCACCACCTGTTTAGTTTTATAATATGTTGATTCTATGAGTGTTTTTTTTTTAATTAGTTTTTTTGTGTGTGTGTGTTTTTTTTAAAGGTTTGTTACTTAAAATGTCATGCATGTTGAAGTTGTGCAGTATCTGTTAGCTCTCTGGGGGTTCCCAAGCAAGAGGAAATACGTAATTGAAATCATCTGATATTTGGCACCACAGGACTCCAAGTACTTAAACACTTGTTCTCACAGCACCCCTCTGTGGATGTAGGTGGCATAAGTAGGGAACAGAGTTGTAGGCTTTTGTTTTTCATGTTAGAATTAGCTGCTTGAATATCCATGCCCTACTTTGAAACATTGGATGCAGAGGTGCCAGTTGCTCCAGGCTCTTGCTGGCCACAGCTCCAGTAAGTGTCACTGCTGTTTCCAGGGACAGCTCTGCTAGTTCCCAACTGGAGGCCAAAGTGAGTGACTCCATTGGGAATCCTCTGCCAAAATGACTGTGTGGAGGCTGACTTTCAGGCTTGTGCTAAGGCCATTTGAACTGTATTGGCCTACTTTGGCATATCATGTTGTTTTTTATTGTGTATTGCAGTACTAAATGTGTCTAGACAAGTGAAAAGAAAGAATGAGAAAGCAACTTTATATTAATGCTTTGTCCTCTTTTGTAGGAGAATCACATCCATGACAAGCTGGTATCGTTCAGTTTGCTTCAGAAGGACTTTGTGCCTTTTCTGCTGAATTTTTTAAGGGAGCAGACCAGCCAGATACTGACTAATGGACCCTCCACTCCTGCTAAAACTCCCAATTCCAAGGCCCACAGGAGCCAAAGGACAGGACCAGAAAGGAGAGCAGGCCATGCGACTAGCAGCCGAGTGCAGCTCTTTTCCCAAAGGACTTCGGTGACCTCCTGCACCACAGACACCAGCTTTTCCCCCGCTGCTGCATCCAGTGGTTCCTCTTCCTGTTCTGGGTCGAACCTGTCAAGCCCTTGCAGCGACTTCCCCAGCGTGGTATCCAGTAGCAGCCCGAGCTTTGGGTACAGCCCTGTGCTCACCCACAGCGAGAAGCGTTCGGCTCAGAAGGCCAACCTGGGGAGCTTCCTTGCTGCCGCACCAGAGGCCTTGCCAGCAAGACGGGGCAGGAGGAAGGGCAGCAGCTCTATCAGTGCCTCTGGACGGCAGGTTGCTCGGGACCTGGGGCGTTCCTTGGCCGAAGAGGAGGATGGAAAGAATGAAAGTGCATCGTGGAGTGGAGGGAGAAGGAAGCGGAGCGAAGTGCCTCTTGTTGCTGCTAGAACCCCTCCCAGCCAGCTGAATCTTAACAACCTAGAGGAGTTCCCACCCATGGGTACCGCCTCTGGCTGGACAAAGTAAGAGTGTGTCCGCCTCGCTGTCTCATTTGGATTGTCCTGCAGGTTGCTGTTCAGTTCTGTTGTGCACCTCTGAATGCTGTCACAAACAATACCCTGCTGCTGACTTCTTGTTCTCCTTGGCCAGAACAACCTTGTAACTGCTGCTGAAGAGGGGAATATTGCTGTCACAGGCAGTCAGCTTCTGGCTCTGTGTGCTCACCTCGGTGCCCCTTCAGCCTCTCACTTGTGTTGTGCCTGCAGCTTGCTGGTGCACAGGCCAGCTGCCGTAAAGCTGAACGCATCTTTGTCCTTCTGTGTTCTAACAAGAAGAGCTTAGATAATGCTGACGTGTTTCTTGTTTAACACAATAGCAATTGCTGATCAAGTGCAGCCCTGGAAGGCTCTTCAGCTTTACTGATGCAAAGAAAAAAGCTTTTGGGTTGGTGTTTTCTGAATTCTGGTAATGAACATCAGTGTGCAGCTTCATTTATGTCATGTGGTTATGGACAAATAGATGGCTAATTCTCATATTCACTTTGGTCTTCAGCAGGCCCTTCTCTCCCTGCTGAGACTTGCTTTGGGGCAGCTGTTTGTCTTGTGATTGCCTCACTACTCTCTTTGATTTTTTCACTCTTCAAAACTTTTATTAGCAAGTATAATGCTTTCGTGTCAGGCTGTTTACTCTGTAAGCCAGACACTGGCCTCTGAAGGGATCACTTTCTAATTGGACAATTAAATTTCCAGCACAAAATTGATAATCTCTGTGTTTGCTGGGGAGTGCCTCTTACAGAGCCTCTTCCTGAAGGTCCAGTCTAGGTAGCATAAGCGGGAAGGATGGGTTCCCCTGAACTTTAAGGATAACACATTACTGGGATATAGTGGTAGCTTGTTTATTTTTGGTTGTTAGAAACTGCTGGTGAATCGGTTTCATGCGAAAATAATTCACCTGATGTCCTTCTAAACCAGAGTTGTTTGGAGTAGCTGCGTGGCAGTCTTTGTCACTGTTGTGTGCACTGTTAATAATTACATGTGTTGGCAGCAAGGGGCAGCAGGCTGTTTTTTGCCGTCCGTAGCTCCTTGAGTACTGACAGTATCTACAGATAAAGTTTAGAAGTTCACAGTGCTGGCTTGATATCTGTTTTATTTTAGCATTAGGTTCTTTTGGAAGAGTTTAATGTGTATCAGTCTTGAGATTTAATTTCTTCTGTAGTTTTGGTGATGTCAATGAAATCCCTTCTCACTCCTTCAGCAAAAGCAAGCCATCAAGGAGAATCAACCCAACTCCTGTGAGTGCTGAACGCCCTCTTTCAAAGCCAAAGATGTGCTTCACTTCAACGCCTGTCAGCCAGTCTCCAGCTGCTCGATTTTCAGCGGGGTCAAGCTCTGAGGCCTTTACCACTGTACAAGAGGGAAGCCCAACTTCTGTGATAAGCAGCAGCCTTCAAGAGGAAAGGGAGATGCTGAAGAAAGAACGGTACAGTTTGAACAGGGTGTTGAAGGGCTTGTATTGATTCTTAGTTCTCTTGACTGAAGATGGTATTGATAGGAGAGTGGAAATGACCAGAAAAGTATCTAAAACAGATGCTGATAACCTTAAACTTTAATTTGTCTAAAACCAAGCGTGACTGCTGTCAGACCAGTATGTTAATGGACTTAGCTCATGCTTGTCATTTTAAAGATGTACTCACTCTGGAATGGCAACTTTCATTTTATCTTCAGGAATCTTTACTGCTTTCTTACCGTTGCCTTTTCATGGGTTTGCATTTGTGGTTGTCTCCTGTCCAGCTTTTCATAGATTGTAGATGTGAAATGTGTTGGTTTGAGTGCATGTAATCAGGTGTATCTGAAGACGTCATCTGTCACAGAAGGTATTGACGAGTTTGAAAAAAAAATGAGTTAACAGTGCAAATGTGGGGAAAATGTTAATGGAATTTAGGCAAACTAACACAGGCTTGTGGTCGGAGAAACGGGATACGGGTAGCAGGAAATTCAATTTTAAGAAGTTTTAAAGTTGCTACCACAAATATCTGACTAAAATTGTGTGTGCTGGGAGATGAGGTGAATTCCAGCTTCTAATTTTGTCTGCTGCTCTGATACTAAGTGACTTTTCTCCATCTGTAAAATGATATCACTGTTAGTCTCTGATGGTTGGTGCTCTGGGAAAAAAGCAAAGCATGGTAATATATAATTGCTGACACAACTGCTAGTGTTCTTTGTAGCTTTTGTTTTTGGGGAAGCTCCTTGGGACACGAGTGGAATTCTTTCCTTGGCAGACTTGCAGTTCACTTCAGTGGGACCAGAACAGGCTGGAACAGACTCACTAGGTTCTCACAAATTCCCTTTTGTACAGGGCCTGTACCAGAACTGGTCAGGATTCAGACCTACCTTTGTGCTCTTCAGTGGAGCACGTATTCCAGTCTGAATTCCACCTGCAGTGTTCCAGTAATCTGTATAAACTAAAGTAGGTGAAATAGCAGTATGTGGGCTGGATTGGACCCATGAGGTGATCTCATCTAACCCATCGTGCTTTCAACAGAATGGTTAGTGCTTGGGGCTAGGAGCTGCTGCTGTGTTCTCGGTAGTGGTGGGAAGTGAGCAGTAAAGCTAAGACAGTCTCCAGCCAACTGGGTTTCTTTTTTGAGCAATGGCTCAAGGGGAGAAATTCATGCTGAGGTAGATGACAACACTGAGGTAGAAATGAAGCAGTGTGTAACTGTGTTTTTGGAGGCTTACTGTGGTAGGTTTCAGAAGTGCTTAGCATGAAGTAGTCTTCTTTGGTTCTAATTCAACAAGTGCTTATGTTCATTGCAAGATGGATGTTAGTAAATAACCTTTCTGCTTCCATTTTGAGACTGATTTGTTTTTCATTGCTGCAGTTTGAGGTTAGGCCAGCAAAAAAGTTCTTGGCTGTGATGAAAAATGTTTGTGTCTTCCCCATAGCCTTTCAAGTTACTTTTAAAGATTTTACTCTTGAGACAATTTGGGCATAAGTGGATGTAATGTTCACGGTGTGGATGTTTCGTTGGGATGTTAAATGGTCATTTTATATTGCTGTTAATGGCTTTTCTCTTGCTTCTCATGTGTCTTATGTATGCTCCTGCATTTTGGGTGACCTCAGGCTTTTTTTAAGCAATACCTTTGTATTTAACTGAGTAATTGTTATTGATTCAGAATCCAGCAATTTAAGTAAGCAGTTTGTCTCTTCTGTTGCTCAACTTGTCGATACAGGATTTCATCAGTTGTTGCATTGCCTTTGCACGTACTCATATTGATTCTTCTCAGGGCATTATTTACTTGTAAATATAGCCGGGAGTCGGAGATGAACCTTATTTTCACAGACTTTGCAGTGTCTAGCTGTCAGAAATTACATGGAGAATATTATTTTTTTGAGGACAGGTTCAATATTTTTAACAAATACCAATTTAGATGAAAAGAGACAACGTAAGCAGCCAAAGTGACAGGCTGCATCATTAGAGTAGGAATTTGAATGTGTTTCTTTAGCACTGCCATGCTAAAAGCTGGATTAGACAGTATAAATGATGTGGTTAGTTACTGCAGGACTTCCTTCATGCTGTGCTGGAAGGGAAAGGTCTCTCTTCTGGTCACATGGTTGCTGTGTGTCATTTAAGCCACACAGTATGTTGCTGCTCTTGAATTTCAGATGCAAGTTGCTGCACCAGACATCTTCTCCTGCAGGGATATCTCCTGATCCTGGGACTCCTACTAAGCCCACTTACACTCGCAGTGCTAGCCTTCCTGCTGAAAGCCATCTGGTGACCTGCGCAGATCCTGCAAAGGTTTCCTGCAAGAAACAGTTGGAGTGTCTGGCACAGCTCTACTCATCGTGTATAGCAGGTGAAGACTGAGATGCGAGACTGACCCTTCTGTGAGCCTTGAGCTCATATGTGCACTGTGAGGGGAAGGCAGATAGCAAGTAGAAATTCTGGCGTGGTTGCTGTGTATAAATAACTCCTAAAAGAATAAGCTATGCCAACTCAGTTATTAAAATAAATAGATTTTACATGAAAATTTTGGGAGGTAAAATGATGTGGTACTCTGACCTGTAGGAGGCTGCAGTTGCGTGTCCTATCTGATAAGATAAATTTGAGCAACCAGACCGTTCCCTCACACATCTTTCCTTGTTGATATATGCTGTGGCTGTGTGTGGGGAGGAAGTTCCTTACAGACTTTGCCTTAGAGCAGTTGTCTGTCTTTTTACCTTCATTCATTAAAACAGGTTAAAACACAATATTCATCTCTAGTATCACATGTCTTCTCTTCCAGAAAACCTGGTACCAAATATTTTCCTGGAGGTTTTTTTTGTTCTGCAACTGCTAACATCTAAAGGAACTTCTGCTTCAGAGGAAGAAGAGAGTGACCTTGAAGTCAGTGAAGGAAGTAAAGGTAAGCAGTAGAATTGAGTGGAAAGAATGTCCTTCCTGCGAATGATGATAAAGTGATGTAGGTAAGTTGCCTGTAGCCTGAACAGTTAGTATCCAACGCCATAAAAAACACAGTGGGACTCATCTGCGATACTGACAAAGTCATGCGTGTATGGGAGGTATTACTTCAACATGGGTCACAAATGTGGGCATGTAGGCGCTGTTAATATAGATGAATTTTGGCAAATCCATACTTACTCTTGATACAGTCAGTAGTTTGATAGGTATGAAAAGCAGAGAGTGGCTTTAAGATGAAAACTTCAGAAAACTTTATTTATTTAACCTTTGTTTTCCTTCTCAGTGTTTCTTAGGGCTGATATTAGGAACACAACGTGATTGTCATCATCAGCTGATCAGCGCTTGCAGTTGGTCTGCTTGTTGTTTGGCTCTGCTTATTGTTAACCAAAAAGCTGAGAAGGAATATTTTCTTTCCCATACAGCATCAAACAGTTTAGTTGCCATTAGTATCAGAAAGATGGGGATTTATCAGGTGCCAGGGAATAGGAACTTCTGGAAATTCAGTACCAATCTGGAAGATCATTTGATTTTTTGGATATGGCAGTTCCTTCTTTCCTCCAGAGCATATTATTGATTGCTTAGCTTATAAATTGTGATAGGTATTGTTGTCACATGTTTCTTTTATTTCCCATTAGATGCATCAGGGAGGCAGCACTTCCGAAGTGTGCACAACTGCGTGTACTTCGCTGTTCAGGTCTTGGATTATCAATATGAGTGAGTTGAGATGGTTTGTTTGGGTTTTTTTATTTCCTCTGCTTGTGTTTGAGATAAAGCAAGTGTGCTTGGATCTTAGAGCTTTACTAATTCCAGGTTTGGAGATTAACTTTCCCTCAAAACACCCTTAAATTTGGCTTAAATTTGGATGGCTGTGAATTTTCCTTGCGCTGGCCTCTGTGTGCAAGAGATGGGAAGTCATGAGATGAGTGCAATAAGAAAAAATGTCCCTGCAGATGTCAGTGAGATTTGATCCAGAGTGACTGGGACTTAGAACTCGTTACTTGGTGGCTTCTTAAGGATGATGTAAACATTTCTTTGGGTCTGATCATGTTGTCGTTTGTGTCTGTATGTCTGTGGGTTTTATGGATGTTGTCTTGGCAGAATTATTTCCCATTTAGAAAAGGGGACACTGAAGTTCTTGGCAGAAAATGAACGGATTGCAGCTTTTTCTCCCACCCTGCATGAGAGGCTCAAACAGGCGTATGAAAGCAGCACTGCCAAGGTAAATATTGGCGGACCTCAACTGAATGCTCTCTTACACCTCTGCGGTGATGAAGTTTTATTTATATTGGCCTTAATGCTAACTCTCGTTCCTTCTACAGTGGGTCTCTTTGTCATGTCTTCTTTGGGAAGTGTCTGAAAGTTGGTTTTTGTATGTTTTTTTTTTTCCTCATTGAGTGAGTGAATTACATAATCTCATCACTGTTAGTTGTGAATCGCTGCTGGCTGTCCTGATGTTGTGGACCTTAGCTTGTGGTTAAACAGAGCCAAGTTTTGCTTTTGAGATTTGTATCTAATCAACATTAGTCCCAGAAAAATAGCCAGCTAGTTGCAATATCATAATGTAGTTGGGAAGAAGTGAATTTCTTTCATAGTTACAGGCTTCTTTGAAGCCAACAAAGCTTGCAGTCTGGAAAAAATGAGTTTCCTGATCGGATCATCTGAGTCAGGGAATTGAATCTTGATGCTAGGAATCTATTTTCTATTTAGTTTCATGCATCCCATTGCATTTGCTAAAGAAGGTACAGTGACTAAAGCACATCAAGAACTGATCAGTTTAGCTAAAGTTATAGATAAGGTTTTCTGTTATTTGAAGGCATATATTTTTAAAGTAGGAGACAGAATACAGAAATTGTACAGAGGCTTCTGTCCTCCTGCGCTCTCAGAAGCCTTGTGTTGAAGACACGCTTTGGCTGTTTGCAGATCATTCTTTCCACACTGTATGAATACTAATTGCAGTCTGTTGACTGCAGTAAGAAAAAGAAGTTGCTTTGCTATAGAGATAAGAAGCTTGCATTCATAGTGAGTGATTCTGCCTGTGGAGTAATGTAGATTTTGCAGCCGTTGGGGTTTACCAGCAGTTGGCAACTGGGAAATGACTAGAGTCTGAACAACTCAATTAGTGATTCTTGTTTTCATCGTCACCTCTCTCCACTGCTTATTCTGGGTGTCAGATTGTTGGATAAATTACACTTGCGCTTGCCTAATTGTTGCTTTTATGTTTTCAACAGGTGTCTCTGCTGCTGCCATGCTCTGTGCAATGTGTTTCTTTCCAGCCAGAAACTGACAATCGTTCTAACTTTCCCAGTGACAGAGCATTTCACATATTTAAGAAACAAAGGTAAGATTCTTTTACTGTTACTGTATGGCTCACAAGATATTATCTGCCCATAGTTGTGAACAAAAGAAGTCAAGAATATCCCGTTTATGCTACATACTGTAGATTTTCACTCTAATTAAGAAAAGTCTTTGTCCATCTTGACTGTAGGAGCTAAATGTTTCATGTCTTTAGTGAAGAATAGCCTAATTCTTCAGGAGTTTTTGAGGCTTCTGGTAAATGCCAGTACATTGTGCTACCGTATATGTAGATTGCTTCTGAATATATATCTGGTATGCTTTGTATTCTTCCTCCCACCTCCCTCCATGCTTGCAGCAACAGAGTGAGGGGAGAATGGCAAGTTGTCTTGGTCCTTTTTTTCTCCTCATAGGTATTATTTTGTGTGGCTTATTTTTTCCCTCTTCTCAGTCTTCAGTATGTCTGATGAATGAGTGCTTTGATCGTTCTGTCTGAGCTTGGGCAGAAGTATCAGAACATGTAGATGCTTGAATTACTTAAATCTAAGGTAGAGTCTCACTGAGAAGTCTAGAAGCAATTAAATGCTTAGTTGTTGCTACTCCAAATGTAGAAGAGTAGAAATTCCTTAAATATATTGGTTCACAGGGATATCTTTTATGAACTGCTGCGTGAGTGGGAGGATAACCATGAAAAACCTGGTTGGGACTTTGAAAGAGTTCTGGGCAGCAAGATCAGGTAGGAGTCTTCTGTAACCCCATCTAGAACTGAAATTTAGCTTTCATGTAGCTAAATTCCTGGTGCAACATACCAGACTCAGCATCCTAATTTCTATGTTCTTCCTAATGGTCTGACTGTAAAGGGCTGTGCTTCTTGGCAGGTAGCATCTGTGCAAAGTTGCTTCTATATTCTATGTAAAATTTTCAACTATCCTCTTAAAGAAACAAGGTATAAGTGGTGGTGGCCTAAGATGATGAGTCTTGGTGTAATTCTTACCCTGTTCCCAGTCACGGAGTTACTCTCACAACCAGTACGTTGTGTTTGGGTGCATTTTTCTGCATAGTTCATATTTCCAGTGCCCCACTTGTTTAAGCATGTATGTGCTATATGTACAGAAACTTTTATCTCTTATAAGTATTTCAGCAGGTTCTGGTGTCTTGGCACTGAAAACAAGACTAGTATGTCTCTTCATGTGGAAAGCAAATGGCTTTATTTATTTACTGTGTAATCAGTATCAAAATACAATGTATATATAAAGAAACCATTGTGTTTTTGAAAGCAATTGCCTTGTGGGTTTCTGTGTTAATCTTAACCACCAGCCTACTGAAGTTACATGGACCAAAGCAAGGCTGAGGTTTAAATGAGGAATGTTCATCCCCTTTGGGCATCAGAACTACTGCTGTTTTCTTACTTGCATCTGTGTGAGCTCTCAGCTCTCTGCACAGGAGGAAATGGAAGATGAATGTATACTTCTACTTCCTAAATAAAGATACTATTGCAGGAAAAGAAGAGAGTCTTTTTGTCTCTAAAGCTGTGTTTGTTCTGTAGACACTAAGGAGGAATCCAGGGAGAATTTTTGTTTCCGTGATCAGCAAATGGGGCTTGCAACCTGGTTGCAAAGAGGCTCCTTTTTTTCCATGGCCTTTGAAAACTGAAGATCACTTTCTTAAAAGCTGTTAGTTTGTGATTTTGGTGTAATTTGAAGTTAAAATACTATTTTTGTACCACAAAGATCTAGTCAGCATTTTGTGAGGTTTTCCTTCACAGGGCCATGATGGCTCACCTGTCTGCAACCTGCAACCACAGCCATTTTGCCAGGCTCTTTCAGAAGCAGCTCACCCAGGTACGTTCCTCAGTTCTTCTTTTTTTTTTTTTTTTCTCATGAAGATATGTGTCAAATGTGATTTGGTCCTTCCTCAGCCTGAGAAATAAGCTGTTGTGCAAATTTGAGACTTTCCTTTTGAAACTTTTTCTTTTTTGGGGCAGCCCACTCTTCAGGAAGAGAATTTCCTGCATTTTCCGGAAATACAGATCAGTGATGAGTTACTGATCCTTATCCAGTTGTAAGGCACAGTGAGCATGTCATGAGTTGTAAGAACTTATTCTTCGTGGTTATTTACCCTTGACGCTCTAGTTTTAGAACAATTGATTTTTAGAAATGATAACAATACGTTTTGATGTGTATGAAATGAAGAGGTTCCCAGTTCCATTCCTTAGCAACATTATTATGCTAACTTTAGAGAGTCTCATGTTCTTCTGTGTAACAGCCAAACAGGCTCTATTTGCTGTTGTATTTGCAGGAATTTTTGACCAGTAGCTGAAGGAATGAAAAAAGAAAGGATGCTCCTGATTGGAGTATAAATTCTTGCTGTATTCCCTCTATAAGTGGCGGGCTTATTGATAGGTAATAATATCCTTTTGGGTGACCAGAATAGGCACAAAAAAACCCCACTCACATTACATGAAAGATGTGAGCTATTGAATTCCTCGCGTCCAATCTGGATTTGCGTCAGTGTTCTGTCAGGTAAAGACTGTGCAAGTGATGGAGGTTTCTCCACATGCAGATGTTGGCTGCTAGATGTGTCTGAATTAGTTGTGTGTTTTCCATCTCTCAGAATCTCTAGGCTATTTATGGCCAAGGTGGGTAGTGTGTCTTACATGAGGTAAAGAGATTTTTCTGTGTGTGCTGGCTGAAAAGACCATGCTTGAATTCCTTCTAAGACAAAATCTCATGAAGAAGGAAGAGTGCATAGGGGAAGAGACAAAATGAAACGATGTTTGATTATGAGTTTTCTACTTTCTTTTTTTTTTCTCCTCTCACTTAAAGATGTGTAAAGATCCTATTGGTGGTGGTGTGAGCTGGGGAGACACTCCAGACCAGGATGTCCTTAATATGCTGGGTCCTGATAATCTGAGCCGTCTGAAGAGGTTGCAGGAAAGATTTGTTGTTCCTCAGAGCATCAGGGGACCTTGCCCACCCCCTTCATTCCCAGGGTGCCAGCAGTTCTTCAGGGACTTCATCCTCAGCGCAGGAAGGTCAGCTGGTTACTATTTCCACAGCGAAACATGGGGTGTGTGGGGAAAACTGTGTTGCTGTTGCAGCAGGGGTGTTCAGAGGCCTTGGGGCACAGTGTAACCTAGGTAGAGCATATCAGCAATATTCTAAGGCTGTGTATCACCTCACTTAATGTCCTTGGCCAGTGAGCACATTAACAGACAGGTTTTTTTGGGGGCATGGAGTGCATTTCTGCACTACATTAGGCTGGATGGTGTAATCACTGAACCAGAACATCTTGTCACAAGCTACCTGCATTTCCCAGTGCCGAGAAGTGCAGGCATGTACAGCAAGGGCACCAGCCTGTCCAAACATTTCTTGTAGTAGTGTAAGGAGCAAAGGAGGTAGAGGATGGAAGCCAGTTTCTTGGTTTTCTTGAATGAGTTTTTCCCAGTCCAGAGCACAGATGAGTTGCCATATCTGACAGATTTGAATGTAAGTTCATTTTCTTCTTCCTGCTTAGGCAGGTCCATATTATCATCCTTTTGCTGGTGCTTACTAAACAGTGTCTGCTTCAAAGAGCTTAAGAGTGGAAAAGGGAGTCAGCCAGCACTAGTTTTATCACTTGCTTTGTTTGTCATTTAATGCTTGATATAATTGAGAGATCAGTTTTAAATTTTGTGGTGTGTTAGTTGAGGTTGTACTGCTATTTGCAGCCCAATCTGACTCATCATCATCTTTTGCTGAAGTTACCAGTTCAATCAGCACCTGGTCGATAGCCTGTGCCTGAAGATACTTGAGCTAGATGGCCTTACTCTGGTGGAGCATGAGCACAGTGACGGGGAAACAGATATGGATGAACAGGTAAGGCTGTATTTTGCACATACATCTGGCTGGAGTTTCCCTGAACTGAACCTGTACTGAAAGAAATGTTTTGGTTGCAAGTTGTTTTAAGTTTCTACGAGTGAATTTATGGGACAAGGGTTTCTTTCTTCTGTTTTGTCATAACTCTGTAATTTGTACAGTGTCCAATTCCTGCCTATTTACTCGTGTTTTAGAATGTCTTATAGAACTGTCTTAAGAGATGAGATGTGCTAGTTTGAAAAGTGATCTCCTGTGGAGGAGCCTTCTTTTGTATTGTTAGCACCTTGTGTTAGATCTGTTTCATCATTGAAACAACTGAGTTTAGTTGTTGCATTCAGTTCCCATAGCTCCCTTATTATTGCTATTCCATGCAGAAAAACGCAGTGAATTTATGGTCAAGGCTATTCAGGTGTCCCTTTACTCACCTATACCTATCACAAGTACCATAGCTTTTAGACTGTTAGCAAAGTAGCAGCCAAAGATAGATGAAAACTTGCAGAGGAGTTGTGGTGCAAAGGAGGCAGCAAAGGGTCAGTTCTCATTGTCTCCAAAGTTGTTAACATGAATATATGACTGAGCAGCTTCTTGTTCTAGAAAGCTCTCAGTGTCTTCTCATGGTAAGTGACGCAGTAGAGGCAGAACCGATTTAAAATGTGTGACAAATATGCATTCTGGAAACATTTATGGAAAGCATTGGTGAAGCTATGTGGCCCTTTTTACATGAAGGGAATAGAGGTTTAGTGGGGGTAGTTGCTTCGCCAGCTCAGGGTGACGTTCCCCAGTTTGCTTTTATTCATTGCAGGATGAAAAGAAGCGTTTCACTGTGGTACTGTTAAGCTTGAGACTCCTTGCCAAGTTCCTGGGCTTTCTTGTATTCTTGCCATATCGCACTGTGGAGCAACCAACTAGAGACCTGCAAGACACTGCAGTAGCATTGAGGAACCAAGTAAGAAACAAGAGCTTCAATCTAATGTGGCCTATTGCTTGATAGGCAGGCTTCCTAATCTAGTAATGATATTACGAATAGTTACGCCTGTTCAAAGCAAGGGAGTGATTCCTGGGAAGGTGTTACGCTATTCTGTGCCCCATCACACATTCTGAAGCTGGAAGCAGAAGAAAAATTATGTAACAGAAAAAGGGAGCAATGCATTGATGCTGAGGTATGAGGTGCTGTTACTTTTGCTAATCAGGGGCTGCTAGACTCATGAGTCTACCTTTATAGAGTCTGCCTTTATAGTGTAGAATCCAGCTACCAGGAATGATTTGTTAGTTTTTCACTCACTTCCTAGCAGTGTGATGTAAAGAACGCAAGAAGGTTTAACACCTGTTAAACCTTGACTCCACCTGTACCCTGTCGTGCTTTTAGTGTTACAGCCTTGTTTTTGAAAGTCCCAGCGGGACCTGTGGTTCCTGTCCCTCATAGCATAGTTTTTGCTTCTCCTGGCAGATAAATGTTGTCATTAGCCAAAAAAGTCTCCTTTTATTTGTACAGAAGAAATCTTAGAAAGAATAGTAATGATATAGAAAAATATTTTTCATTAATTATTAAAAGATAACTTCAAGCTGTTGCTTTAACTTTTTTTGTTCATTAAGACTTTGCCTGTGCTGGACGTATTGAAGCTTCTGAGACGATCCATTCGGAATCAGCGTTCTGTCCTCACTATTCCTTGGATTGTGGAGTTTCTTTCTCTTGTGGATCATATTGCTCCTTTCCTTGATTACTATAGGAAGGTATTTTGTCTTTTGCTGCAGGTATACAGGTAAGAGCCTGGGAAAATATATCAGTTCAAAAAGCTCTTTTGTGCATGGTTTTGTTTGAGAATACATGCTGGTGCTAGTTTGAATTTCTTGTAAAGGTATTTTTTTGTGTGCAAATCATGAGCATTCGTATCTTAGATAGCACTACAGAGGGAGGGTGTTTTAAACAAAGAGAGAGAGATGCAATAAGTTCATGTTCATTGAGTAAACAAGATTCTTTTCTTCTCACTCACCCATTCCACATCTGCAGCTGCAAGTTTTAAACCTTGAATTTAAACCTCAGACCTGCAGGGTGAGCAGAGCCTAATTAATGCTTGAGTTTTCTTTGTGATATACATGAGGAAAATTTCAAGCACGTTCTAGAGAGTTGCTTAACACTATTCAGCACGTTATTCAAACGTGTATGCGCAAAAGAGTAGAATTTGCCCTCCATTTTGTAGGCAAACAAGTAGGGAATGTGTACATGATTACAAATAATATGATTAGAAACTGAGTAGTTTGGAATGTTTTTCCTGAAAGTGAATTGCAGTAATGAAATCTAACACTGCCTTTTGTTGCTTTTTATGCATGGCAGGCTAATGGTCCTTTCTGAAGACAAAGAGATGAGTTTCCTGAACAAACTGCTGATCCTTGCAGTTCTGGGTTGGCTTTTTCAGGTAGTCTATTGTGTGCACACAGATTTTCCCCAAAGAAAAGGCAGACCACAGGACCCAATAAATACTCAATACTGAAATGAATTAAAACATTTGAAATTACTAGGTTCTTCTTGTGCTACTTTGGGGTTCAAACAATCCTCTGTGTTCTAATAGAGAGCTGTTGTCCTGTAGTCAAACTGTGTGAAGTAACTTTTTTTCCCAGTATGAATTCTAATTGCTGCTGAAGCACACTTGGTCCTTAAATCCACATCCTTGTAAGAATATTGGCAAATTCATGTTAGAACTTGGGGCACAAAGGTGGGGTGCTAACTGGTGTCCTCAAATGAATGGGGATTTTTTTGTTGGATCAACAGATGGCGTGTGATAAACTTTTAAAATTCTTTTGTGTCTTCAGGTGGAAGTAAGGTGATTTGTTAGCAGGAATTTGCAGAAAAGGTTGAAGATACCATAGGGGAGGTTAAGGAAGGTGGCATGCATATTAGTGATTAAATTAAATCTTCAATTTTACAGTGAAGTCTCCTTATGGCAGATAGTTTCCTTTTTTTGTTTTTTTTTTTTTTTTTTTTTTTTTTTTTAATGGTTAAAAAGCTACTGTGTTCTTTCAGTTCACAGTTTCACAGTTTCTTTTCAGAAATGGTGTAAGCTGACTGCTATTTGGGCTGTTCCGACTGGGGTTTCTGTTTCAGGTTCCATCGGTCCCTGAAGAATTGTTTTTTGCCACAGATGTCAGGCAGGAGGGATTGGTGATGGATATTGTGACATCTGCTCAGGCTTTGGTGAGTTAGTGCAGTAGCAGGCCCTCTGAATCCTTGGATGAGGGTGGACCTACTGTGGCCTCAGGAATTTCAGATTTTGTCAGGAACCTTGGCATCAGTGCAGCTGCATTGAGTGAGACTATCTAGGCCAGTGTCATTCTCTGGTTTGTCCAAGTCGCTAGTTTGCATTGCATTCTGAATTGCCAACTGTATGTGTTCAGAACTCGGTTTTGTCAGGCAAAGGGCATCTCAGCTGTGGCTCATAGAATGGATGCCAAGTTATGTGGGAGGATCGTATAGTGTTCTCTGATTATCTCAATACAAGGTGAGCTGATTAAATTGCAGTTCTTCCTTCAAGTAACTAATAGTAATTGTGAACTCAACAAAAATAGTACAATAGGTCTGTCAAAGCAAGATTACTATTTTTGGTGTCACATGTTGACCAGCTGCATGATAAAGAGTGAGTAAACTAAAAATAATTTGAGCAAGCAGAGAAGTATGTGTTTAGGCAACTCCCAGACATGCAGGAGAATAGATGGTATTCTGTGAAAAATCAGCAGTATGTTTTTGAAGACATATGTAAGTCTTGTCCAAACTAGAAACCTCTGTTTTGCATCATCTCTTTAGTGGCAGAGATGAGATGCAGAGGTAACTGAATATTTTGCAAATGAGTACATGACATGGCTCCCTATGCCCATGGGATCAGAAAAAGCTTTTCCTCCAGTGCCTCTGCCTGTACTGTGTCATACTGAGGTGGCGTTACTCCATAGTGTGGTGTTCTAGCAAGTCTGGCTGAAGACACCTGTGGAGGCTTACTGTGCAGCAGGTGTTCCTTGTTTATTCTGCTCTATGGTTAGGCTCCTGTTTTACAAATAGCAGCTGTGGCAACAGTCCTGATTTTCTAACTATCAAAATTTAGTTGGGCTTTGACAGTGATCAGAAGAAAAGATTGAGATACACTTGGACTGCAAAGTACGTAATTCTACTGTGAATTTGGAATCTAGCCGTTTCTGTTGTTTTCACAGAATAGCAGTTTTGAAACCTGCATGTGACCACGTGTATAAGATTTCTTTCTTGCTGTGTTCCTTCAGCTTTTCTTTCGTTCTCTCGCTAGGACTCTGTCCCCCTGGTGGATCAGCAGTTACTTTATACCTGCTGCCCCTACCTTGGTGAGTATTTTATTTTTTTTTGTCCTTTAAAGCATTCCTTAGTCCTGTGAGTCCTTGGATTGTCTTTCTTTACCCCTCCTCACAGCTTTGGGTCTCAGCTGTGTGTAAGTGAACCTTGATTAAAAATCTGGAAACACCTGCAACTGAGAATAGTTATTTGATAACTCTAGGGGAGGGAGGCTACACAGTCAGGGCAGTTGTACAGAGCTTGAATGCAGAGGAAAAGGAGAGCTCGTCCTTTACAAACTGAAAAGAAACACGATAATGAGTAAGTATACAACTTTTGCATCCTAGGTATAGGTGTTTGTACTGTGAGAAGTATCTTGAACTTTGGGTGTTTCTGTTATTAGGTAGAGGGGAAGAATCCTGTTGAGCTCTGCTGCTTTATCAGGTTGTTGTCTCAGACATCTTTTTCTTGGAATAATTGATGGCGTCTTTATGTGTAGAGAACAGAATGCTAGATGGTGGGATGGTTCTCTGCTTCTTGGGACTTAGCTGCTAGGAAAACTGTGTGATAACCCTGGTATCCTGCATCATAAAAGCTAGAGGTTGAAGAGCTCTTTAAGCTTTTCCCCTGTGGTTTCCTTCTGACTCTGTTGTATTTCTTTTGTAATCTTTCTTGTCTTGTTGTCCTTGTAGATTTTGTTATGATTTCTGTTTACTGTGCTAAAAAGGGTTTCATAGAAATGGCTTCTTCTGATCTTTCTGAACAAGTCTGTACTTGCCAGAATTTTCTGGGATCCTGTTTTAGCTTTGGAGCCTGCTTTACTCTGCCCTGCTAGTTAGACAGGTGGAATGCTTCAGTTTCTGAAACTTCTCTTCTGAAACTTCAGCTTTCACAGAATCTGAAAGAATTTGCTCTGGAAACAGGACTGACAGTGTGAATTTCTGCCTGAGTTTTTGGTTTGTTCCCTTGCTTATGGGATAATGACTGCTTTTGCATGTCTCTCTGTACAGGAGAGCTGCGGAAACTACTTGCCTCTTTTGTGGCTGGTAGTGGAGTAAAAAATGGTGGCTTTATAAGGAAAATCACTCCAACAGCTGCAGAGTCCTTGGCACCAAAGACTTCCATTACACAACGGAAACTGCAGGTAATCTGGAAGTCACAAGTGAAAGCAGAGTAGGAGGAATTCCCTGCATGGTAGTAGGATACACAGTAGTATCCCAATGTTAGGGAAAGAAAAGTATGGACCTAGACAGCAGGGGATGTTGTGTTTGACTGTCAGTCTTTAGTTTTCGTTATTCTGGTTAAATCATGTGGCTGGGAAACCACATGGATGTTGAAATCTATAGAAGTTTAATAAGCATTCTTAGAATAACTCTCTCTTCTTTAGCATAAAATGTTGGCACATCTCTCGCCAACTGCTTTTAGTTAGGTTGTAGCCATGCTTTTTGTAGAGCGTGCAGAATTAATTACCAGGCATTTGGGTAGAGGATTCTTTGTTTCCAAAAACAAGCCCTATGTGGTGACTTAACATTAGCAGCTCAGAGCTTTCCCATTCTTCTCTTTACTGATCATTTGCTTTTGTAGCTTCATAAACACTGATCATGACCTTTGAGTTAAGTGGTTAGGAGGAAATGAGGAATGGGTAGTTTGCAGAGGCACCAAATATTGCAGGAGCAGAATACTCAAGTGTAGACAAATTATGTGCCTTGTAGCACAGTTACGTATGGCAGTTCTGTCTGCTCCTGTGATGAGGAGAGGAGGATGTGGGTGGAGTGCTCTAATCAATTGTAGTGCTTTTCTTTTGAACAGGTAGAGCTGGAACAGGCCTTCTTCCACAACCAGCCTCCCTCTCTGCGGAGAACAGTTGAGTTTGTGGCAGAGAGAGTGGGATCAAACTGTGTTAAGCACATCAAGTAAGTGCTGGTGATCTGTTCTGCGATATAAGAAATAAACATAGTACTAACGAGGCAAGGAGATGATCTTGAAAGTTGTGCGTGCAGAGGAGGAGGAATGGGGGAAAGAAAGCTTCCCTCAGAGCATGCTGTACAGCTGAACACCAAGGCTGTATTGGGTTATGACGTTATGTCCAGTGACATCAGATTTCCTTCGTGGGGGGGATTTGTGATGGGATATAAAGAGGAGGACTGCATGACTGTGGAGCACTTGGAATGTGAACACAAAGGAACATTTTGAGATTTAATATCTGTTTCATAGCATTCTTACTAATTATAGAAAAATGTAGGTTGAAAGGAACTGGAAGTTGGGCATCATCTTGTTCAAATTCACACTCAAAGCAGGGCCGCTTTTATAGTTAGGTCAGGTTGCTTGGCATCTTGTCCAATTGAGGTGTGAAAGCCTCTAGGGCAGAGATTCAGCATTCTTAGCATTTTGTTTCAATGCATAATTTTACCAGTATTTGTGAAAAATCTTTCCTTATATTCTATCAGAATTTCCTTTGTTGCAGCTTGTGTATCTTTAATACTTTTGCTGTACATTTCCTGTAAGTCTTATTCTGTGTTCTCTATGACCCTTTCATCCCACTTCACCTGTTCTAAGCTAAATGAACCAGGCTCCCCCCAGTCTCTCCTTGTAGGTCATGTGCTCTAGCATCCTAGCTGTGTTAGTGGTCTCAAGTGCAGTATTACAGTGGTGAGGGGAACTGTAGCTTCCTCTTGACTTGCTTGACTGCGCTCTTGGTAACCTGAGGCTAGTGAGAAGCCACTCTTCTTTGGTACAGCCTGTCTGCTGAGAATGCTAGATCCTTTTCTGGAGAGTTGTCCTGGCTGGGAGATCTTGGCCCTTATACCCAGTACAGAATCACTACCCCACTATCAAACCATTTCTTCACCTTGTTGGGGTCCTTCTGAGAGATAGCCCTGGGTCCTCATATGCTCTTCATAAACTTGCTGAAGATTTACTCTATCCAGTTGTCCAACTTAAAGACATTAAGCAGTATCAGTCTTTGAGGAACAGTGGTTGTACTGTGCTGCTGGGGACATCTCTGCGTTTCTGACCACAACTCATTGAGATTGTAGAAGTATTGGTGCCAGAAAAGTTACTGTGTAACCATTTATTTCTGTTAAAACTCAAACTTTTGACTCTGGAGTGTTAATACTATTCTGATATCTCTACTTGCTACTTTTTTCCTTACCTTTTTGGTATTAAAAACAACAACAACAACAACGAAATTGTGTGATTAATACTGTTTTATTAGAGTAGCTAGTTGCATTTCTGCCTGAGAGAGGTATCCTGAAATGAGGGAACCAGCTGATTACAGTTAGCGTGCATTGTTCCTTTTATTGATTTCAGTATGTCTGAATTGTTTTATGTTGTGTTTTCACAGGGCGACATTGGTAGCAGAGCTGGTTCAAAGGGCTGAAGTCATGTTGCAGGATAAAGTGAAGGAGGAGGATGCTAATCATGATAAGCTGCTTGAAGAGGTGTGCGCTCATCTGTATGATGAAGGAGCCCAGGCACTTATCAAAGGCAGAGAGTAAGGAGGAGAAGTTATTTAAATCCGTGCCTTTCCTTCTCTTCTTATTGTGGAATCTGTAAGTCTAATCTGGCTCAGCCTGTCTTGCTCAGGTTCTGGTAATTACAGACCCTAACCTCTGCTCTTCTTAGGGCGACTGTCTGCTGTGCCTCCAGCCAGATAACGCCATATCTGTAGGAAGGAATAAAGGTTCTGTTTGTCCCTCTGCATCCAACTCCAAACTGGCATTTACTGCAGTTGTTGTATTGCCCTTCTTTGGAAAACTGAGTATTGCAGCTTGAGGGCTTGTGATTCTTTCCTATCTGGTCCTGTTGCCTTGGCTTATTTCTCTGTAGTCTTCCAACTAATTTTGACTGTAGGAGGGCATGTGAAAATTCCTGCAGTAATGAATATCTGCCTGTTGTCCAAGAACTTTCTGTAATACAGAGACATGTTATTTTCTTGCAGATTTTGCAAAAAGAAAGGTCCTGAGGCGGTAAGGGTCTTATTGCCGGAAGAAACATCTGCAGCAGTACGTATTTTCACAAAGACTTCTTATAGGCCTTGTCTCTCAGTCTGTGTTATCTTTTTTTTCCTCTTGCTGCCTCACTTACCCCTTAATAGCTTAGAACAATGGAATTTATTGATGTTATTATGATGATATTATCTCCTTAATATTGATATTAAGGAGAGTCACCTCTGTCAGGCTGTGCCTGGATATCACACTAAAGTGATGCTCTAGCCAATAGCTAACTGCTGTGACTAGAGTGGTAGGTAAATCGCATATATCTTGCAAGGACAGCACTTCTGATTTTAAAATCAACTTCACAGATAATTGATAATTTTTGTATGGAGTCAGTGGGGTTTGTTCTGTTGTTCAGAGTTGATGGTTTGTCGAGAAATCGTGATGTTCTATTTAAATATTGCATGTCCATATTAAACTGTATCTCTCTGGAGTTTTTTTTTTCTGATTTTTTTCACTGACTGTTAGCGTTGTGGTAGTAAGCCTCCTATCACCTCCTCCCTGCGAAGGTTTTGAGCAGTGCAGAAGACATTGCAGTGGAGCTGGCTACTGAGAAGGCCTGTGGCTGGCTTTCTGCTAACATTGCAGGTGAGCTTTCTCACTCTGAACTTCTAGCCTGTATATTAAACTCTTTTTCTGAGATCAAGGGGTTGAAGTTTAATCTGGTGCTATGTGAAGTACTTAGGTGTAAGAGCGGAGGCAGGCAGGAAGTGTGTTCCCTTTTCCTTTACTGGGAAGAATGCAGTTGCTCTGTCCCTCCTTCTTTAGTAATAAAGGGAGTGATTTCCACGAATCTTCTTCAGAGACTTTTCAGTCTTGGCCCTTGTGAGTGATTTTTAGTCATGGAGGTTGTTAGGATGGTAAGAATGAATGTTTCTGAAAATACTCTGGCAGAGTTTGTCATAGCATTTCAAATGTAGGATACAGACAACTGTCAAGCCTCCTTATGGTCCGTATGTGTAGAGAACTTCTGAAAACTTCTGTACAACAAACACATCTTCAACTGTGTATGTTTTCAGCAGGCTGAAGGCAACTGTAATCCTTTTAATCTGTAATAGTGCTCTGGCAGCTCTTCAGAGTCTCTCAAAATCTACTGTTTCAGGAGATGCTGCCAAGAATTTGGGGAAGACTATCCAGCACCATTTGCAGCAGCAGGAGATTAGTGTTTTGGATGCTGGTCAAAATTTATTTTGGTACAAAACGTAAATCTTCTGTGGGCACAGTGGTTGAACTGTCATGCTGACTCAGCTTTCTTCTTTGGTAATGAATGAGCCTCCTGGCTCAGCTACTTTGTTCATTACAGCTACTGAAGCACTTTTGATGGAAAATGAAATGGGTTCCCAGTGGTATCTGGTAGTAATGGGCAGCTCCTTACTTGTGCCTCTGGCCATTAATATAGTGGGAGCTCAGAGTCAGGCGGGTATGAAAGTGTGAAGTCCTTTCCTCACTCACAGCAGCTCTCAGAATGAGAGGCAGATATGGGTAGCATTTGGAAACAGGTTGTCTGCCTCCCTGGAAAGAAAAGTGGAAGTAGATGGGTTATTTTTATTTTTATTTTTATTTTTTTTTTCCTCCTTTGTAGCACTGATTAAAAGAGAAGTGAAGGCAACATTCAACAGAATGCTGAAAGTCCCAGGACTTCCCTTGCCCAATGAGGATCCTGTGGAGTTGAGAAGGGACTGCTCCCCGGGCTGTCTGCACCGTGCGCCATTTCCCTCTCAAATAATCAATGAGATTAAGGTACATGCTTCCTGTCTTTCCCTTACTCCCTTTCTACTTTTCACCTGTTTGAAAAGCACTCCTCTACATAGGGCCAATGATCTCTTCATGGAAAGTGCAGAATATTAGCAGCTCAATCACTGTTGTCTTTTTCATCAAGGATGTGCTCTGCATTGCTGTGGGCCCACGGGATGAAGGGGAAGTGATTGATGTTGGCTGGCTGGAGTGCTTGCTGGGTCGACTGAGTCAGACGCTTCGGTGCAGAAAGGTAAAAGTTAAAAAGCAGCAAAAGTGGTAACAGTGAAAACATTAGACTACTTTGAGCCACCTTCGTGCCTGTTTGCCTTGTCTCACAGTTGAGTTGAGGCAGAGAACATCAAACTCAATTCAAGTTTGCAAAGTTGAAACAGCTGCATTGCATTTGTTAGTCTCCAGAAGTGTTCGTTAGTTACAACTTGCCTTTGTGGACTTCTTTGTCCTTCGGGATCTTGTCTTTCAGTCTTTGTTGGTCTCCTGATTGCAGCTCTGTGCTTCCTGCTGTAAACCGCCTCCTATTCTCTGATGCTTTTATCCCCTGATATTTTTATCCCTTGTGAAGTCCTGTTATGTCCAGTTTGCAGTGTGGGGACAAAGATGCAACTCTTTCTCTGTTTTTCAGTTCATGTGTCCCACATCAGAACAGCAGCTGGCAAAGTGCACGGTTGAGTTGGCTTCTTTGCTGGGTAAGTCAGTCATGAAGAGCTGTTTAAGTCTTCTCTTGAATTCTTGGCTTCAGAGATTTTGTTATTTAGAGCTGCTGATCTTTGGTTCTCTTGGTGCCATTGAGTCTGTTGGCTTTTTTTTTTTTTTTTTGTCAAATCTGGATGGTTTTTATTTCCTTACACCTTCTGTGGAGGTTACTAACTGTCCTTCATATCTGGTGCTCTTATTCACATCTTCATTGGTTTTCCTTTATTGAGATCTTTATTTAAATGTGCTGTGTTTTTCTTCTCCTAAAAATGTTGTTGTGGTTTTTTTCCCACCTAGAAGTGAAAATCTTATTTCCTTCAATTATATTTTCATGGCTTTTTTTAAATTACTTTTCCCCCTTTTGCTCTAATCAGTTAAGCTATCACTTTTCTTAGTGTGATCTTGCTGTCTGTATGCAGATGTTTTCTTCTTGAGCACACCATTTTTAGAAACTTTTTTAGGAGTTTTTACACAGTTCACTTCTTGGTCCATGTCTGAATATATCAAAATGTCATTTGAGGGGATAACAATGCAAATCTGACCATTTCCATTAGACTGTACCTAGGAAGACTTGATACTGTTCCCTCTGTGTATGTTTAGCTGCAGTTAAATACTGTAGGACTTTACTTCCACTTGTGTAAACTCTGCCTGTAGTCAAAGCTATGTACAACTGTTCAATCTTTCCTAGATTTAAATGGTGTTTTCCTTTGTTACTCTTTTCTTTGGAATAGCACCTAGTTCCTATTTTATTAAATGTTAGGCTGACTGAACAGAAACTGAAATAATCACCTTTCAAAGTTTGGGACTGTATGCCAACTAACTTCTTTATCTCAGAGAAATATAAATATATTCCCATATAATGTCTCTTAGTGTAGTTTCAGAGCACACTTCTGCATGTTTCAGACTCTACTCCCCTTATGTTCAGTGGTTTACGCTCAAGAGGTGTTTCTGCTTTAGTGATTGCTTAGTTATCAGCTACGCAAAATCTGCTGTTGGACTGAGCTGATGGCTGTAGAGAAAACACACAGGTGCAGAAGTTCATCTTCCTTTTGTTTCTTGCAGTTTCAGGTCGTGTTCCTCTTAGTCTTGGGATCAAGCCCCCAGAGGAGAGCTCTGAGAGGCTCCGAGTGAAGAATAATCCCACGTATGACCTTCTGAAACTGCTGCTTTCTGTCTGGAAGGAGGACTTTGGGACACCTGTTCCTGTGCAGCTGATGTTCAGCAGGAAGAACATTGGCTATCTTGCAGAAGTGAAGCAGCAAGAGGTAGGGTTTATTCGTCTCTGAGGAGTTGCCAGTTACCTGCTCTAGTCTGACACATACGCATGGAAGTTATCTCACTTGCAGAGTGAACTGATTGCTTGTGGGAGCAAGGCTGGTAGCATCAGGCTTCATTCACAGGGATAGAGAAAAAGAGGGCTGCACTGTGGTCAGTCTCCAGTATTTGCCTTGGGGGCTGTTGGGAAGGCACAGCTTAATTTGGGAGCAAGTGATGAAATGGCCACTCGGAGCTAAGCGATTATTAGGACTGAACACTGTGAGTGTGCAATTGGTCACCTCTGTGTCTTCTTTTAGCTTTCATTTTTTGTATACGTGTGGTGTTGCCTTACAAGATCCTCAACTAGCCAAAGCTGAAAATTGCCTTGCCTAGTTGCAGGCTGAAACCAGCTTAATTGGGAAGGATATGAATGTTTTTCAAGCTGCTTGGAACACACAGGAATTAAATACTCAGTATGTTTTGGAACAGAGAACTAGAGATGTTTAGTTTTGAAAATGTTATGGTAGAATACTGTGTATGAACGAAAGTAATTTTGCTTATTTGTTTTGGATGTTGCTCTTTGTTTTATCCTTTTGTTCATTTTATCCATGTTCTGATCCAGGAAGGCAACTCATGAACTATATTGAGATAAGGGAACAAACACAAATTGCACTTATTTTTGAGATGTTGATATCTCTTTTTTTTCTTCTCTGCAGTGGGATTTGTTCCATTTCATCCTTCATGGTCTTGTAGAATATGATCTAATGCGGACCAGTGAAATAGAGAGTTGCTTGCGTAGCCTTGAAGAGTTCCCTTGGCCCTCAGTAAGTAATTAGGTGTGTGTGTGTGTGAGTAACAAGTGAAGCAAAAAGTAAAGCTACAGAATAGTAAATCCTTGTAGTTCAGTTTCCTGTAGATGCAGTCGTTAACAGTGTCCTGTCTGCATTTCCTGCTTAATACAGCAAAGGGATTGTTTAACAATAACTTGTTACTGTAACTAATGTTGTAACTTTGGTTGAAATCTGTACCTGACTGAATCCAGAATATCCCATGCAGTGGAATCAATCGCCGAGAAAACTGTAACCCAAGTTGGAGACCAGCTCAGTTTCCATGTTTTACTTCATCCTGTATGCTTTTGCAGTGCCCTGGCTGAGAGTGACCTATTGGGAAGGGGCCTAGCTGAGCACTCACCTTCAGGACTCTTTGCCTCCCACAACCAGAATGGGAGAGAAGCCAGAATATTCTAGAGAGGGGGCACAAAATACAGGGAAGGGCCTGAGACCTGTACTGCAAAGTTGCTCTTATTTCACATGCGGTGATGCTTGCATGTTGGAGATTGATACTTGTTGATAAAGGTTCTCAGGTTTGTATTTGTCTGTTGCAGGATTTCTTAAAAGCTCTGGGCAGCATTTCCAGTTTATTTCTATCAGAACATCTTATGGAAGAGCCCAGGAGTAACCGCTGTGACCTGACCAGACAATCTCTAGGTACTGTGACAGCACAAAGTTAGTGGAGATGGACTCTCTGAGGATAGAAATTACTAATGAAGATGCAGATGGAATTTTTAGTGTTTCTGAATGCACTGTGAGGTCCTTGCTGGGAAAATATTGCATGTAGGAGGTCTCTATGTGCGAAACCAGCACTGGTCTTTCTGTTTGTGGATGTGTTGCACTGGTGACTGCTGAAGGATTCATATCAGCAAATAGATCACCAAGTCAGAAGTTCTTTAAGCACCTTGATCATTGCTCAGAGCAGCTGTTTTTTCAGACTCATGAACACTTTTGTGTTTGTACAGTAACAGACTGTGGTCAAACCAGGAATCAAGTTGAATGGACAAGTCCCTCTGTGAAGCAGGGGGATTGCTTCCTGGTGACTGGCTCATCTCTGAACTTAATGTGGTTTCTTGCCAGGGGAGGGAAAAGGTAACCTGTTCTGCAAGATGAGCCCGTATTTATTTTTCACTGTGAGCTCAATTTCGAATATTTGATTTTAATGTTTTTAAGACTCATTTTAGAAGTTAAAACATATTAAATATATATACACCAGAAAATGTGTAACATTATTCTTAAAGGATGTAGATGATTAAGTTAAGTTTTCTTCCACCTCTTGATGGAAACAGAACTTGTTATTTCTTGGAATTTTTAATTGAAATAAGGGAGAAAATACTTGATTATATTTTTCACTGAAGGCAGATGGCAGTATTTTTATGACTCTTTTTATAGTATGTGAACATAAATGTTATGTAGCTGCTATTTCTTGTTTTTTATAATCCTTCTTGCCTTGAGTTTGAATTTTATCAGACAGGAAATACTCCAGCGAGTAAACTACAGACTAGAAGAACAGACAAGAAATTTAGCAGTGAAAAAAGCAGTGCCACCTTCTGGAGAGATGGTATGAAAGGAACCTTTTTTTATGGAGGGCAGTGGGCACTTCCTGCGTTTGTGGATAGATCATAAAGCCAGGGTGCAAGTTCCCTTTCACCCAGCAGAGATCTTCTTCAGCAGGAGTTTATGCTCGGGACTGCTGGGGGTTAGCAGAAAATTACCTGCTCGTTAGATGATTCGGGACAATTTTTCTTTTCAGAGGATCTTTTTTTCCTTTTGTCTGGCAGTCTGCCATTAGTACAGGTTTGTCAGAAAGCAAATATTGTATTAAGACCAATGTTTGGACTTGAAGCTGAGTATCTTGCTGATTAACTTACTTACCTCTTCCTCGTATAAGGTGGAAAAAAGTAGCTTTCTCAGTTGAGGTGGAGGGGAAAAACACAACCAGGACTAACTAGGTAGAACTGTGGCATCAGTTGAAATGTGTGATACAGAGGGGAATGCCAGCATCTAAACTCCATTGAGGTTGATTGGGCATACACCATCTGTGTGCTTTTTTCTTTTTTTTTCTTTTTTTTCTTTTTCTTTTGTCTTTCTAGGGATTGTAAGACATGACTGAGTCAGGGGTTCCCTGAAAGTAGGTGTGCTGTGTGTCTGGTGAAAGCAGGGTAATGCAAATTGAAATAGCGAGTACTGTCTCTTGTTTCATACCTACTTCCTGAGGCTGAGCATTGTGTGACGTTTTGCTGCAGAGCTCAGTTGAAGTTGTTGTTTGTTATAATAAATACGATTAAATGTCCTGTTTTGTGTCCAAGCTGGTGAAATACAGCCTCTTTGTACTGGGACAAAGTACAAAAAGGTGCCTTGCCACAAAGCATGGTGCAGAAAACATATGGTGATATCTGTCCTGCATGCTGCTGTTTTGCTTGTGCTGCACTACTGCATCTGTTACTTGACCGTGGGAGATAGAGGGAGAAGCTGGATAAAAAGGTGCTCAGTCTCTGGAACTGAATTTATTTGGGTATCTAAAACTGTTTGCGTAGATACTGCGGCCACAGGTGTTTTTGTGAACTCAACCTAACTCAGTTATCCTTCTGTAATACAACATGCATGGAGGTATTTATTTAAAAGGTGATCTAAACCTGAAGATCAGTTTACTACTGCCAGAGAATGTAATTGTGCTCCATTGGGCAGAAGTCAGTCTGTTCTTCAATGTTGTCCAGCAGGTAAGAAACACCTCTGCTTCTGTTTTCTTACATTGTCATGTCATTAATCTACATAGTTAATGGGTGTCTCATGTTACTTATGCTTGGTGACTTTGGGGAAGCCAGGCACCTGACTCTGCAGCCAAACTTTGCAAGAAGGATACAGCACTCTGGGCAAGTAGGAGACCTAGGAGCCGTATGCCTTCTATCACAAGCTAACCTTTTTGGCTTCGTCCAGGTAAGTGTTCACTGAGTAGAACAACACCTCCTCCTGTGTAAGTACAGTTCCAGACAGCTATCTTAACTGGAGCAAATACCACAGGGCATTTCTTTTTCTTGTGTAGAAAATACATTTTATTGTGGATATGAAAATAGCAATCTTGATTAAGAGCAGAGATGTAACAGCAGGTGGTACAGATGCTTGGTCTGATCATCTACTGCTCAGCAGTAATTGACAGGAAGCTGGGTTTTTCCCATTGTAGTTTAACAAAGTAGATGATGTCTGCTAGGTTTTATTTCTTCCTTCCCAACAAACCATTGCCATGCATTAAGAGGTACTAAAAAATGTTATATTTGCAAAAGAAAACATCCATATAAATAGGCTTTTTAGTATCAATTGACAATTGTATTAAAAAAAAAAAGTTACATTAATACCGATAAAAATAAAAATTAGCTTTGATAGCATATAAAAATGCTTCAAAACAAGCATATATAAATAACTTAATTTGTAAACATAGAAAAACCAATCTTATGTATATATAAAAATAAACATCTGATGCACTGTACAATAAGACATCATCCTTCATAGGCACTGGTTTCATTGACCCAGGAGTCCCCCTAGATGTTTTTCCTACAAAAACTGCTTTAACTCTAGTGCCGTCTCCAAAATAAAAGGGAAAAAAAGCAAAGCACTGAGCAAATCTTTTGTGGACTGGCTGAAAGCCACTCATCTCCTCCTGCAATCCCTTCTTGAAGCAGCATTGGTGGTAGCCAATAAATACACCTTGCTGCAGTTCCTGCTCACTTTTTCTAGGGCTTTAATGTATTACCTTGTTCAAGCTTCTTTGTTTTGCCTCCCCCAAAAAGGTACGACGGTGCAAATCTGGACATCTGCCTTTTGGTGCAGTTGCTGAGGCTGTGGAAGATGTGCAGTGCTGCAGGTGAAGCATCCCCTGATGCAGCTTGGCAGGCTGCTAAGAAAGGCTGAGCCTCACCCCAGGAGAATGGTAATACACTGAAGGTAATGTAAGAATGGCCACCTTGAGTAAACACAAAACAAATTTATAAGAAATGATGTGTTTTATTACTCTTCCTGCTGCAGCTGGGCAGGGAGGAGCCTTGGGCTGATATGCCTCAAAACTACTATTTCTTAAATATCAATTTAAAATAGCCACTGTCACTTCATTTAAAACTTCTTAATATATTAATGATAGGAAGTAACATAGAAGCTGAGAGCCAAAATTACATCTGTGCAAAGATAGAGTTAAAAATAGATTTTGGCTCTTGAAGCTATGGTGGGAGGTGCAGTGAGCTTGTGGTATGCTGGGAAAATATCTCTGACCCAAAGTACCTATGTGTGTTCCAGTAGTAGAGATGGCTCTGGTAAGGTGGGTGCTTGAATAAATGTTTCTCATCTGACAAATATAAAATGCAACAGCCACGTGAACAACGTGGGCTTCTGTGAGCTAAGGAAACTATTATAGCAGCCTTTATTGCTTAGAGAAGCTAGTTTAGGTGATTTCTGTACTACTGTGCTGAAGACCTACATGAAGTTACTTAGATACTTGAGTTGGCTGTGGTTTTGTTTAATTTTAGGAACCTGTGACCAAACACTTGAAGCCTGACAACATGAGTATTGGACAGAGCTCAAGAGCTGCCAGGTAACTGAGAGGGGAGACACTGTGCTTACTGCTGTTGAGGCAGCTGTTTGTGTTGTGAACAAAGAAATGATGATGAGAACAGGACCAGGCTGGATTTTCTGCTCTTAATGCTTCTAGGTAAAAGTAGAGACAGGCTGATGGAAAAAAGCCATCGTGGAAAAGTGCTGGAGCTACTCTTAAGAGCGGGATTCAAATTTTAGGAACATGCTGACTACTCTGTACTACTTTCTATTAATGAGTTATTGTTTAGAACTGTCAGTTTGGTTTCTCTATTTCAAAGCACCTAATTTTGTAGTGCAGTAAAACTGTGTCCTGAGGTGTGGTGGTTTCCACTGTTGCTGCATAGTGTAGTGGTAATCGAAAATCCCTTGTACTGTACTGGCTGTAAGCAGTCAGCCAACTATGAGAAAAGTCTGAGATGACTTATGGATGTCATGTTGCCTTAGCTTCTCTCCAAGGGGAAGTAAATAATTTACCATGGCAAGCTGACTCTAGCTGCTGCTAGAGGGATCTGTATCTGATATTTATCTCAACACAAGGATGTGGCTTTGCATTTCTGCTCAAAAGTTTGTAAAAGGTCTCAAGCCATGTGAATACTATTTCCAGGTTTTAGTACATTTCATTGCTTCCATTGCCTTTTTTCTCGCCACTGCTCAAACTTTACTGAATGGAAAAGGTCAACTTTTTATAGTTCCTTGGAAATTGAAACAAAATGATACAATTCTGGTTATTGTAAAGAGAATTCTCTTCCTCTGCTATTGATAGAGACAGCACTCCCTTCTGCTCATGGAGAATTTTCACAGAAGATAGGCTACTCATAAAACTTGCTGGGTTTCTTCTAAGCAGCATTAGCTAAAATGATGTTTGTTATTTTTTTCCAAGCTATACGTTTTAGTAGTCCAGAATTAGCAATTAGACTCCTCAATTGAGGCTTGATTGTTCCTGATGTAAGAGCAGACATTTTACATTACCCTTATGGATGCTTGTGTCTCCTTGCTACCTTTCAGATGAATATTCCAGTTTCTTGATCAATGCTAACTGGCAAGGAAGTGTGCTAGTCGAGCAATGACCAAAGGCTGCCGCTTAGCGATGGAGCTCAGGAGCCGTGCTGGGATCGCTGGGGCACCCAGATCCACCTGTACAAGGTAGAAGAAAGGCAAGTGTTGCATGACCCATTTTTGAACACTTTCTCCAGGCTAAACTAGCTCTGTTGCTGCACATAAAATAGTAAGCACGAAAGTAGTTTACAGCCACATAATTTCTGTGATTTCTGCGGTGGACTGGATCTTTTTCTTCCCAATACTCTGTAGACTTTGAAGGCTTTGCATATTTGATAGTAGTTTCAGCAAGTACAAACCACGCTGGTTCTGGGTTTGAGCTTAAATATTGCTAGTTCGAAACACAGGTTTGTAGTGTTACTGAAAATACATATTGCATTCCACTAATATATGCATAAAATGTGTAGAAAACTTTAAAATACGTTGTAAAGGGATATGCTAATAATTACCATTTGAGGTTGCTTTTTTTTTAATTACCTATATAAAACGTGTTTTTAGCAAAGTTTAAAGGACTAATTCTAATTGTCACTAGCTGCCTTCTAAAATAAATTATGCAGCATGATATTCTTTTCTGGATGTATTTAGGTGGTTGGCGTCACTGACCTAAAGGAGCCTGCTTTTTCAGATGACTCTGTAGTCGGTGGAGGGCGAGATTTTCTCATTCTTAACTAGAATCCTCATCTTCTCTATTGTGTTTATTTAAATGCAAAGACTTAATGACTTCTGTTGAAGAAAGTTAACAACGTGCATTTCCATACGTGTCAAAAATAGTTTTAGCAGAGGTGGACTTCTATGTCTCCAACAAGACAGAAATGCAAGTGAGATTCTCCAGTCCCTAACACTGAACTATCATGTACTGGTTCACTATGCAAAAGCAGAATGTACAAAAGTTGTGAATTAACAGTTACAGAAGAGACTTGGTGTCCAAGGCAGCAGATTCACATAGTGTAAAAAAACCTGTGGATCATGTACATAAAAGCAGAATCCTAATTAGACTGTTATTGAATGTGATGTACAGTAATGAAGGGTCTTACCTGAGCCATGTAAATAACTCTGGTGATATCTCTTCCATTCACCACATCAGGTTCCAGGATCCATGCACTGGGCAAAATTTCCCCTCTCACCACATCTTTACAAGGGTGAGGCATGGATGCATCATACACAGACTGAATAGCCAAGACAGACAAGTTCTTCTGCATGAAAGAAAGTGTAAAGAAGAGAATTTTAATTTTTTGATGCATGCAGTATTGTTTTGCTTACCATGAAGCATATTTCTCACTAAATCAGCTCCTGTTTCTTTTTTTTGTCAGAATCCTGCTTGTTTGTAACAAGAATATGCTGTAACAGTTGTGAACAAAGCACTATTAGGCAGTAACAACTGTCAAATGCCAGTAGATTTAATACATAATTCATTTCTGTCAAATGAGCATAGCTTTTCGTCCTATTACAGCTTTCTCTGGAACTATGAGCATAACCTTCCCTCCCTTCTGCCCTTGAACAGTGAGTTCAGACAAGTTAGTTAGTTTCCTCTGTCTTAGAGAAAACACACCACACAAAACTTACCTCTTTGGCTTCTACAGTAATGCAGCAGAAATCCCGTGGCTGCTGTAGGTAACACAGGGAGGTATCAGTCACTAAATACACTGCAGAAAAAGTATCCAAAACCAACAACAAACAAAGGGAAAATTAATTAGGCTTTGACAACTGTAACTTGTCACACTTACCCCCATCCTTCAAACTGCACAAACAAACTTTATTTGAACTTGCTGCAGTTAAGAGCAAAGTTCAAGCTAACATGAAGATGCTAATATTAAGATACTGTAATTAAAATGATGCTGTTTCAAAGCACCTGTATCTTATACTTCTGCAGCATATGATTTGTAATAGCTGTACTTTGAAAAAGTCTAGCAAAATGGAAGCTCCTACACTAAGTAATGAAACTGGCTCTTCAAGTCTGAAGAAACAAGATGACTGTATATTTCTTTCTGGCTGATCTGAGCTGAAGAGTCCACAATGATACTTCTGGTCAGTCAGTGCAGTCGGTACTCACCCAGCTGAATGTGACTTGTTATCTTCTTGTGTATTCGAGCTGTGCTGATGGATCTGTCATACAGGTGCCTTTTGCCCAGATCTCTCACTAGTCCCCACACATATGCAAGAGGTCTTTCTATCACTCCTGCTCCCAAAAATCCGTGCTTTGTTGCTGAAGGGAAGACTTTGTAGTAAACCAGCACCTCCTTTTCTGTACATTGGTATCTGTCAAAGACAAATGAAAGGTATTGGCACAACAGATGATCAACTGCATTAAAGATCTCCCATGATAAACACCTGCCATAAACTTACTTCCAGCCAGCAGCTGCTTGACAGGTGTAGAGATTCCTCAGGTTATGAGAGCATGCTGCCATTACCTTAGAAAATAATGACAAATGTACATATAAGTGGAAGTTATCTACATTTTAAATTATGTTCAGCTTCTGCTGAAATTATCTGAAATTATGTTCAGTGCTGCTGCAGTATCTTCTACTCAAGCTATTCAGTGGGCTTTACAACAAATATTTAGTTTTCTTGTTCTAGTATTACTCTGGGAGTTTTAACAGTCAGACTGATAAGTCCAGCCTGAACAATAGTGTAGACCTCTGTGAGAAAACTGCACTGGAGGAAGCGTGCATCTCCAAGTCAAGTGATTCCATCTGATCTGAAATGTGAAGTTTGCATGCTTTGCTTCTGGCTACACAGGCATACAGGTATTTAAGACTTGCACTGTACAAACTCTTAGGAGCTAGAAGCATTCAGCATTATCACCAGCTTCACTTGAATATTTCAGCTCACATGCAGCAGTCATTCCTGTGCTCCACTGTTACAGCCTGTTTCCTCCCACTATTTAAAACTGCTCAGCATATCCTGCTATACCCAGCACTAATTACCTACTAGGAGTGCATAGAATAAGATTTGTCTCACACACTTTCATTACAACATCCAGTAGAAGGAATAAGCAAAAACTGTGCTTATTTACTCACCTCGGTGGTAGCATTAGCCAAGATATGTTTGGATAAATCTTGGTATCCTTGTGTTGATGAGGAGCTTACTGAAATAGTTAACCCATGAGTGAACCTACAACTGATGCTGTCTGAAGGAAGTGGTGGCTCAATTCTGCTGTCTTCTGCAGGAGACAAAATTGTCATAGGAAAGTAATAAAAAGGAAAATGATCACTGAAGTGGTGCAGAAGATGTAGCATTGAGCATTCAGAGGAACTTCAACCCTCCTAAAGAAAGACTGTTATCATTCTTGGTCTGGACAGCCCACATATTGGTAATTACATTGCAGTTAGGTTTTGCATTACTCAAGTATAAACATTATTAACTACATATAAGCTAATAACCTAAAGAATAATATGAAACGTGACTCTGGGAATACAAATAACAACTTGCATGTACAATCCTATACCCTTAGCCCCATGCTTCTTTGGTTCATTCAAGACATTATCCTCCTTGCAGCCTCTCCAAAGACTGTACAGCAATGCTACAACATCAGAACAACAACTTTCTTAAGAGGAACTAAATCTCCAATTACTTTTCTGTGCTTTAGCTACTGATGACAGTATTTTTTTTTCTGAATTCATGTAATGGTAAGACAGCTTCAAAATACTTAGAATCAAATTAGATTGGGATTAGCATAAATAAGAAACCTCATTAGGTTTTGGGATACAACACAGAAATAAGCAGGTGAAAATATACTGTACTTACCCAGTGTTGAATCCTTCTGTAGCTGCTCTATCATAAAAAGCTGACTGTTTCTAACAGCTGAACGACCACGTGTGTCTCTTGAAAGCAGTGCACTTCCTGAAGAAACCTGGTTTAGCAAAGAGCAGAAGTGGAGACTTTTGGCTTGAACCAAGAAAAATAAATTGTTACATTATCAAGAAGAGTATCTGCAACCAGCCTGCCTTTACGAAACCGGAAGCTTGATGTTATGACAAGTTAATTTCTTTGCCTCTCAGCTGGTTATGAAATGATAGCTTAACTGAGGAATTTCAGCAGACAAGTATGACAAGCTAGCATAGGTGCACACTCCAAAAAGCAGTTTAAAGTAAGGTGGTGTTCACACACACAAATCCCTGAGTGCATCTCTCTTAAATGAGGAAGGCACACTGAAAATACTAGATTCTGGCTCATCACAAAAAAATGTTCCTTATTGCTAAAATGTGACAGACAGTGGCACTGCTGTCAGTAATAACACACTGGCTTTTACTTACAAGTTAAAAAAAAAAAAAAAATCTGAAAAATGAAATTGTCACTGTCCGTTGCAGGACATGTTTAATGCTCCCTCCTCCCCTGTGTAGCCCATCTGTGTGTTTGTTAGGACACAAACTTGTCCTGCTTGATAGCTGTGACAGAATATAAACCACCTAGAATTTCTGTCCTTGTTATCTCTCTTACTGTTAAAGCATTAGGGGATGTTGGTCTTGCAGGCCAGTTATTTCTCACCTGTCCTTCCCAGCTGCTCAGTTTACTTGCAGTGTATGTAGCAGTATTGCTGCTGTTGTAACCTGATGTTGGGCCAGAGGATAGACTGAGGCTGGATTCTGTACATAAGGTGCTCGTACTTGCAAGAGTCTTCAGCCTTGCTTCCTCCTGTAATAGAGATCAGAGCATCACAAACTTGTATAGCACTTAGTCAAATCAGTAACAGCACTGGAAAATGACAGAGGAGTAACATGAAGTCCATTTTCTTTCAAGGAGCATTGGTAAAAGCTGTTACTTTCTGCTTCATACAGAAGATATTTAATAAGCAGGTTCATTTGAAACTGTAAGATTATATGAGCAAATCAATGCATCAGTCTAGGAAAATCTGGATAACTGGAGCTTCTGACATTGTCAGAAGAGTCCAGGCTTTCTTTCAAACCAATTCCCAGACGTCTTAAGGGGGAAAAGAAGTTTTAAAAAAAGATCTTTTCTCAGTCCCATTTGTTACTTTTTTGCCTAATTCTTGTGCTTAAATTATTGGTCAAATTCAGTTGTTAAGCACTGAAGATCTTACTGCAGCTCAGTGCCAGCCCAAAAGATGAAGAAAAAATTACATAAGAAAATACTGAGAACTTCAAGATGATTTATTCTTAAAGTAAAGGGTACTTTAAGTATTTGGTTTTCAATTCAGCTGAAGTTTCACAAGAGAAGTATGGAAGCAGATGTGGTAAGAACCAGTCACCCATTGGAGATTCCTGAACTCTAGGTGCCTTGCAGGGCAGAGAGCAATGAAATGACAGTTCACCACCTATGAGAGGAAGGCTGCAGTTCTAACTAAAACTGCACGGTCAGGCTGTGACAAAGATTAGCGCATGAAGGTGTAGTCAGAGACCAGGCAGAACACATACCTTCCAACAAGGTATTGTCCTCAGATACCAGCCAAGTCACACTCATTGTGCAAAATAGGTAACAAAGTGCAGAAGTTAAAACAAAACATGCACACATGGGACAGCATAACAAGAGGAAAAATAAAGAAATAGATGAAGGTCTTCCTGCTTAAGTACATGCTGAAACACTGAAATAAACTTATTCTCTTTAGCAAAACTTCTCCAAAGACTGCGTATATTCCCAGCAGGATGACTCCAAAAGCTTGATCCAAAGTGAAAACAGAATTTTCTTGCACAAAAAATGTGCTCAAGAAATAGCTCCAGGAAGATATAGTTCAGAAGCACGAATAAGATAACAGTTATCAATCTCAGTAATAATGATTACTGAGAATTTTTTTAAGACCAAATTTGCATTTCATTATTTGTTTTTCTATGCATGATGTCAGACAGAAGAACTACTGAGCTATAAAAGCCTATTTAAAAAATGCATCAATGTGAGTAATGGGGAACAATTTCCTCTGTAATGCTCACCTTCTGTAACTGAGCAAATATTTGCTCCCTTATACGTCTTTTCTCTTGCTCAGCTCTCTCCCGAAGTTTGTCCCTTGCTCGTGCAATTTCGGTTTTGGTTTCCTCTCGTGCCCTTTGATAGTCTCTGAGCATCAGTTCAATCTCTGAAGGGTGCTGAATGCTTCTTCTTTTTGGTTCTTGAACTCTGTAAGGATAGGTAAGGGGGAAAACATGTATACTTACCTGAAATAAGGTCACCTCATGGAATATTGTGAGAAAGTCCTCTGTCAACATGGAACAGGACAATTTGCCAGAACAGCAATTAAAGAAAACCAGTAAGTCTCCCTTTGCCCACTAAAGGTTGTAGGAGAATTAATCTTGGAAAACGATTTGCACTGACAGTGCAGTTGATCAGTGAGATTACTCTAGCAATCGCTCTGGTTTCTAAGCTTTGTAAGATCTAAGGTTATGGCTTTGGCATAACACCCAGAAAGTAACTGTGTGTTGGGAAAATGCTGCCTCCTGCCCAACTGCAAAGGAAGCAGAAATCATTTAGGGGATGTGGTGGGGGATGAGAAAACACTATTTAAAATGATAGAGGGTTCTGAAGAACTTCATTGGTATGAAAGACTACTTGCCATGACTTACAAATTAGAGATGGAGCGAGAAGACAGATTAGTCAAAACTGAATCTTTGGCATACATACATAAAGCAGGTGCTGGTTATGAATTGAAACTCAGTTGAAGATTTTAGTGAATGTTTCCTATAATCTGGCACACATTTATCCTGAGACAATTAAGAATTCTGCCACAAGTCTCAGATCTCAACAGGAACCGTGAATGCACATCCATTGTGAACACTTAATGATCAGAGGGTCAAGAGTGAGGGTTTGAATTCCTACCTGGTATTTTCCACCACATCTCTTCTCAGCTGTTGCAGATATTCACGGCGCCTGCTAGGAAGATCCAGATCCCTGTGACTTGCATCCAGGGTCTGCAACAGACTCAGATGCTTCTGAGGACTCAGACTTCGGCTCCTTTGGTATCTTTGCAGCCTTTTTTCTCTCTCCTTCCTCAGGGTCTCAATAGTCCTCATGTGTCTGTCAGGGAAGCACAAGTAGAGTGACAAAATGCACCCTGCAAAGTTACACTTTCTGTGGTTGTTTTTTAACCTTTAAAATGTAAAGTCTTAAATACTAAGTAGCTTTGTAGTATGAAATTTCTAAGAATCTAATAAAATACACTCCCCCTACAAATATCCCTTTCAGTCATGCACTGAAGAAAAAGAAATTCTAAAATGCCACTGCTTTTGAAAGGGAAAATGGAGGAAGAAGATAAGTGCAGCTCCTCCTAACCATTCCAGTTACAGCAACTTCCCAAACAGTTCTATAATCCAATCTCTAGAATTTAGGGTATAGATTTTTTTCATAATTCCTTTAGCGTCATTACAGGTTGCTTCCCCCCCCCCC